CCCCCCCCGGCGGCCCGCTCCCGCCGGAGCCTGGGCTGACGGACGCACGCGCCCGGCGTGGTGTGGGGACTGACCTTTTCTGACGGACTCCACTGGTAGGGCAGGAAGGGAAGGAAAGAGACAGAGCTCAGCCACCACACGGCAGCACAGCACACACGGACGCTTGCGAGAGGAGGACTAACGCTCCTCTGGGTTCCTGGGGCAGCGCCCAAGACTCACCCAGCAGCTGGATGTGCTTCTCGCTGACACCCAGTGCGTTGGAGACCCTGCACATGGCTCCTGCCCGCAGCAGGTCGTGGTTCACACGCACCGTCAGGTTGCTGGCAACGTGCTGGTTTTCAACATACTCGTGAGCCTGTGAGGATGGGAGATGGCGAAGGATTCAGCACCCGAGGCACATGCAACCCCTCTCTGGGCGGCCACAGCCTGGACCCAGCACCCTCTGGAGCTCTCACCGTCCCGTTGATATTCCACTGGACAGAGGGCCTGGGGAAAGCGATGGCCTTGCAGGTCAGGTTCACCACCTCGTCCTGCCGCACATACAGCGGGGAACTGATGGCGACGATCCGCGGCTTCCCTGTGGGGAGGGCACATCAAGCACCCATGGCTCTCAAGGGCGGAACAGGGCGGATGCTGGGCGGGACGGGGTTGACTCCGGCAGTGTGGCGTGCCCACACACATACCAGTGCTTACCCTGAACAGCCACGGCCACCTGCTTGCTCTGTTCCAACCCCGGCACGCTTGGCGCGATCACCTTGCAGCTGAAGTTGCTGGAAGTTTCGAAGGTGAGGTTGCTCAGAACGAGCTGGTTCCCTTCTGCAACCTTCTTGCCCTGTTGGGAAGGTACGTCCCCCAGCAATGAGCCCCGAGCACCACGCCATTCTGCACCCAGCTCCCCAGGCTCTGCAGCTGTCCAAAAGGGGCTCAGCCCTCCCTCCTATGTACAGCTAGGGACCCTGCAAGCACAGGACCTCTCTGCAGTACTGGCCAGGAGGTGAAGAGGTAAAGATGGACAATGCAGGTCCACGCAAGGTGGAATCCTACCCCTGGCTCTTCTCGGGGGGGAAGGTTTGCAGCAGTTTGCTGAAAATCCCAGACCCTCCAAGCCTGAAAGCTACAATACCCAAACACCTGCTCACCTTCTCATCCCTCCACTGGTAGTTCAGGGCCACAGGGCTGTGGGCATTGCAGCTCAGCTTCACAGTATCCCCTTCATGAAGGGGTGAGGATGGCTCCATCTTCACATGGACCCCATCGATGTCTAGGAGGGGAATAGAGACCAGGGCAGGGTGAGCAGGAGGGATGGGGCACCCCCCATGAGGTGTGCAGAGTCCCATCCCCCCCTGCCTTACAGTTCACAAAAAGCTCCACATCCTTCTCCAGCTGTTCCATATCATCCAAGTCCAGAGTCTGGCATCTGTACAGGCCGCTGCTGCTCTTATTCACACCATGCAAGTTCAGCACCCCGCTGTTGGTGTCTGCCAGGGACGTCAGGTCCTGCCAGCTGTTCTCCAGCTGCAGGCAGTGGAGAGAAAGCAGACCCCTTAGCCCCACATGGGCACCCTCCATCCCAGTCGCTGCATCCCACTCCCCAGGGATGCAGGAAGCAGAGAGGACCCAAGGTGCCTGCCAAGGGAGAGGTGCCCAGGTCCCATCCGGCCTTACCTCTCTCTTATAGAAGCTGAAGACGGGCGCCGGGTTCCCGTCAGCCTCGCAGACCAGCTTCACGTCATCCCCTTCCTTCACCAGCGCCGCGGACGGCATGACCTTCAGCTTCACGTGCTGCGCAGGGTCTGGGGGGAGGCGGGAGCGA